AAGAAAGTTGTTTTAAATATTGACTGATTACAAAGAGAAAGGAATCTTAAATTAATGAAGTACTTTAGAATAATGTTGATTTCATTTGCATGCAAAATTTCTATTCCTCCATAAAAGACGTTAAAAAGCAGCTTCCTTCAAAACTAATCTCTTTAGCGTAGGTCAAAAAGGGTTTCTACATCAAAATTTTAGACTTGCATGGACTATAGTTTCTTATCAATAAAAGAAAGCTCATTTTAACTCGCTTTAGAGTTGCATTAAAAGGAGAGAACAACAAGGATATTTCTTTCCTTTCCTTCTTCTTTCTCTCTCTCTCTATTTTCTTTTTCTTTTGAATTTCCATTGTTTCTTCTTTGTTGATTCAGCATCTGCGTGAAAAAAGATCATACTATAAAACTAAAGAAACTTTGTCATATACAAAAGATAAAGGGTTGATTATTGCAGGTATTCAGCAGTATATATATTCTACTGAACATGAAAATTCTCACTCCAAAAAGATGTTTACACTTTACATGATCGGCTTGATGTGATGTTTGGACCCATAGATTCCACTAATGCCATGCTTTTAATCGGTGCTCTTGATGACCAAGTCTTGCAAACATATCATGTCTAAAGATGGGCCCATAATTAAGTTTTAGTACCTAACAACATAACATCTATGTATGACCTAAACATAATTAACCAATAAAGTATATTAGACTCCCGAATGTCAAAAAAGACAACAGAAGAAGAACGGTGGTTTAGTATATTGGGTTAGAAGAGGGAACATAAAGGCTGTTGGATCACATGCACATCACATTCTTTTTTCTCTTCCTCTTCTCTTCTTTTGATACTGTGGCTGATGAACGTTAAAGGAAGGGGGAAAAAGAAAAAGATACCCCACAAATTCAAGGCTGCTGCTATACTACTACTCCTCAATCCAAGGGATTCCTTTGTTATGATCAAAAGCCTTATTTGGGCCCTCCATCATCCTCACCATCATTTCATGCATATATATGAAGACCCACCTCCTACGTCCATTACTCACAAAGCAATAATAAGTGCTTAAAGTGATAAAAAATTTTTACCATGATGACATTCAATAATTCAAGATATAAAATGGGCAATTTGGATTCATCGAAATTCGATGAGAATTATGATCAGTAATTGATCGGATGGTGATCGATTCATTATTTTCTGGGGAAACGCAGTTATATTCAAATCATTTGCAGTGTTGGGTTGATCCGGGCTGTCCAGTTTTCTCCATATATTTATTTGTTTATTTTTGCTCTTTTAACATATTCCTATAATCATACAGATATTATTGCCACCTAATAATCCACTGAGGAGACCCTTTTGGCTGGTCAATCATGTCAAGCAAAAAGCTTTGTGAATGATCTGTTGTAGATCACTCAACCAGCGCACAAAATTTTGATGGTCCCTAATCGAAAACCATCCGCTCCATTTTGCTCACTGTTTGATTGCCACGCGCAGCTATGTAGCAAGCACTAATTAAGTACCATTAAAGTACCATATCACTAAAAAATTTAAACTATTATATGAGATCTTAAAATATAATTTATATTATTTTTTAACATATCTTCTTAAGTGGGTTTGAAATTTACGTAAACTCATATTACCTTATGCTTAATTAATTAGGAAAAAAATAGGATGGTAAATTCAAAATTTTGATCGTTAGATTATCAAGATTCCGATATCATGTGAAAGAATCATCTCAACTCAAGAGCTTAAACTATTATGATTTATATTAATCTCTAAAAAGCATCCACATAAACAATACCATAGTCAAATTTTTGGTTTGCCAAAATTTGTAATTCATAGGCCTTTAATATCAATGTTGATTACTTAATTGGAAAATAAACTAGTTCCTTGGTGAACCGAGGACAAATGTTGTGATAACTAAAACGAAATAGCTAATAAGGATAACTATTTGTTATATACTTCCTATAGCTTATCTTATACTTCATGTAGTTATCCTTTACTTCATGTAGCTTATCTTATACTTCTTGTAACTAGTATATATATTGGCCTCTCGTAAAGACTTTATTTAGCGAGCTAATAAACTCTTTCATGGTATTAGAGCCTTTAGAGACTTAACGACCTATGATATTTTTTTAATTCATCTTGGCGACTCCTACTACACCATTAGATCGAACCTCCTCGCTAAATGCTCCTTCCTCATCGGTTGCGGTTCTACCATCTCTTCTTAATCTTCATAAACCATCCATTGTCAAACTTACTTCCACAAACTTCATCCTATTACAAACATAGTTTCATCCTATTTTACGTTGTCATGGTTTTCTCCATCATGTTGATGGATCTCATCCTCCACCCTATCGTATGTTTGACAACAATGAACCCATCCATTTTTTATCAACTAAAAACGTCATGATCAACTCGTTTTCACATGGATTGTTGGTTCTCTAATAGTGGTTATTTTACCTCTTGTTATTGGAACATCTACGGTTCGAGAAACTTGGTTGAAATTGACTATTGCATATGGTTCGGCACCGGAACCCGCATTAATCACTTAAAAAAGGCCTCTATCATCTTGTTTAACGGACAACTGAATATGTCCAGCAATACTTCCAATGTGAAAAAAGTCATATCTAATGTCCTACATTCTCTTGGCTCCCTCATTCCCGTGGATGATCTTATTCAAACCTTACTTTAAGGTTTTGGCCTTACCAATAAGCCATTCTAAGAGCTATTGAATCTCCTTATGAGGTCGTGTCTTATGAGACTCTATGGTCTTACTCTTAGTGAAGAATTGTAATTTCAAGACACCATTTAGTCCGTAGAAGTTCCAATTTTAGTTCATTATGCTACCGATTAGTCCTTAACTTGTGGTCGAGGACGTCATGGTGGGCATCCCTTTACGCATGATTCTCGCTCGAGACCTCCTTATCCTCGTAACTTGAATTCTAATTTTAGCGAGTGTGGTTTGCTATAATTGTAAAGGTAGTGGTCATCTTGTTAATTTCTATCCATTCCTAAAATCATGCCAACCTACTCGTCAAATAAAGCCCTCATCTCACCTTGCTTATTCCACCTCTCGTTACACCCAACTCTCGATAGATTATGGACATGGGTGTTGCTCATCATATGACAACGCTTTTGTAAAATCTAGCTATTCACAATGAGTACTCTAGTCCATAGGAAGTCTAATTAACCAATGATAAACATGTTCCTATCTCTCATGCTGGTTATTCTCCTTTTCAAATTCACAATCGTACTTTTCATCTTAATAATGTCTTGCATATTTCTTTAAGTAGTCGAATTTTTTATTTATTAGTAGATTTATCAAACATATCTCTAGTTTTATTGAATTTTTTCTCGATAATTTTTTTGTAAATGACTTGGCTACATAGGACATTCTCCACAAAGGTTTATTTGACAATAGACTCTATATAACCTCCTCCAATACGGCTACTGTCCGCCATCTTTTAATTCAAGCTCACAAGACTTCTTTGTCCACTTGGCATACTCAACTTAGGCATGTATCAACCAAGATCGTTCATCACATCTTGAAACACTCTTAAACATATATTCCTTCATCAAAAGACTTTTCCTTATGTCATGCTTCTAGTATAACCAAAATTCATAAGTTACCTTTTTCTTAGTCCGATTTTTTAGCTAAAAAATCATTAGAATTAGTTTGTTCTTATGTTTAAGATCCTTCTTTTGTACCCTCGGTTGATGGATATTCTTATCATGTGCTTTTTTATGATCACTTTAATAAATATTGTTGGTTATTTTTTCTACATTATAGATCAAAAGTTCTTAGCACTTTCATTAAGTTTAGGCATCTAGTTGAAAAATTCTTTGAAGAATCAATTAAACAATTCCAATATGACTACGGAGGTGAGTATCAAGCATTAACCAAACATCCGAATACTAATATTGGCATCTCTCAAAGAAGTGCCTATCTAAAAATGCCTAAAAAAAATGGTTGTGCCGAGCTCAAACATCGTCATATAGTTGAAGCTGGACTCACTCTTCTCCATCATGCCTTTGTTGCTCTATCCTTTTAGACCTACGCTTTTGATACACCCTTTTACATTATAATAGACTTCCCACACCACATTTACAAAATAATTCACCTCACTACCTTCTTTTTGGAACACCCTTATTGCATAAAAAACTCAAAGTTTTTGGTTGTTTATGTTATCCCCGGTTACACCCATATGTTGGCCATAAACTTTCACCACATTCCTCGGTTCATAAAGGGTATATTTGCAATTTCATTTAAAAAAAAAAATTTTGTTCACGTCATGTTTTATTTGATGAACAATTTTTTCTTTTTACTACGTTAAATTTGAGTTCATCTATACGAGCATAATCCATCCGAGATCGAGACTTTTGTTGTGCCAATTCTAATTTCCTTTTTAAATTATACCATTATACCTATATCACCAAAATATACCAACTTTTCATTCAAATTTCAACAACCCACGCCCACTTACCCAAACCGACCGACTCACGTTTCACCAATCAATAGCCCACGCCACTTCTATAGACCATAGCCTCACTTCATCCTAGCCAAATTTTCCTACCTCGTCCAAACCCAACTAGCTCTCATTTAATAACTCGGTAGCCCATGCCATTTCAAACCACCACGAGCATTACTTCATTCCGATCTATTACAAACCTAAACACCACTTATCTTAAACCCAATAAGTTTAAGCCTAACATCTTCACATGATAACATTATCATACAAAAAATACCCTTTCTCTCGTGACATTAGAAATAGATCTATCACATTATCAAATCCTATCCTAGCATCACCTCTCATCTTCTTCATCTCTCTTACAACCTGCCTCTATAAATATTAGAATATCATACAACAAATCTCACTCCAAAGCCATGGCAAGCCTAGATTAACTAGCCTACCAATCCTACCTCCATATATGAGCCCACCCAAACCTCTATCACCTAACCCGAAGCCCGACCCTATCACCTTTATCAAAATACCACATTACGTATTAAAAAAAAACCCATGTCTCCTCTGTCCAAACATCATGACCTCCATCCACAATCACTACCACCGTCATTGTCTCCTCTACCCAGCGAGCTTGTGAGATCCAACTCATCGGCGATTGTAGCTTCTAAGCATCACATAGTAGCTTATGCAAAAATAGATAACCTAAATCCTCGTGCATACTTAACCATAATCTCTTCAATCGCTCTATCTTTCTACTCACAAGCTAGCACGGATCCATAATGGTGTAAAGTAATGGCTAGTGAACTATAGGCACTCGCTTGCCAATGAGTCATGTGAGCCTATTCCCTGTCAACCCACTTACAATATGATTGACAATAAATGGGTTTATAAAGTCAAGACAAACTTAGATAAGTTTATTGATCAATATAAAGCATGATTGGTTGCAAAAGGATTCAATCGGTGTCTCGGTGTTAATTTCACTAATACTTATTGTCCTATTAGTAAACTTATTGCTTTGCATCCGATTCTCTCCGTAGTTGTTTCTTTGAGTTAGAGGGTTGAGCAATTGGATATATCAAATACATTTCTTCATTCATAATCCACTTGGATGAAGTGGTTTACATATCTCAACCAAAAGGCTTTGTTGACCAAAAGAAACCAACACATGTTTGCAAGCTAAAGATGTCCCTCTATGGCTTAAAACATACACCTCATCAATGGTTTAAGTGCCTTAGAGACAAGCCGTTGTCTCCGGGATTCAAAGGCTCCTAAACTAATCTATTTTTTAGACTATATGGAAAAGACATAACCATTTGCCTAATATATACTGATGTTTTGCTTATTACTAGCAACGAATGGACCTTTGATCTCTTCTCTAATTCATGCCCCGCATTCTAATTTTTCAATGAAACATCTTAGGAGGCTTCAATATTTTTTAGGGATAGAGGCTGAATGAGGAGCCACCGGCTCGTTTTTTCATCAACATAAGTATGCTAGTAAGCTATTCCTAAAATCTAATATACGTTAGGCCAATGGTCTTAGCACCCATGCTTGCCCTACCACTAAGTTACGAACAATATGTGGTATTATGTTTTTAAATTTTACCCTATATCATAGTCTAGTGGGTGGCTTGCAATATCTTGGCATCACTTGCTTGGACATTGCCAAAATAGCACAATATATACACTCATTAACAAAAGCTCACCTGGATTGCTTTGAAGCGAATCTTGCATTATCTTTAAGCCACAAAATCACATGGATTGTTACTTCAAAATCCCTTGATTTGTTTAAATGCATATACGGATTCCGATTGGGGTGGGGACATTGATGACCACAAAGCATATCCAAGCTATGCCATTTATCTTGGTCGAATTTGACTTCATGGTGGTCTCAAAAACAACACACCGTTCCTCACTCGTCCACTGAAGCTGAATATTGTGCTCGGCTACATCTTGCTACGAGGTTAAATGGATTTAATCTCTTCTAAATGAGATTGGTATATCTACTACCCGACCAAAAAAATATTTGGTGTGATAATTTTTCGATCACATACCTAATGACAACACTTATTTTTGGTTGAAGGTCCAAGCACTTGGAAATTGAATTTTATTTTATACATGATAAAGTTCATAATGGTTAGGTATAGGATTGCTACGTACCTACCAATGATCAAATTGCGGACATTCTTACAAAATCGTTGTCTAAAGCATCATTCAACAAGCTATGTTTTAAGTTGCACTTCCATTATGATCTTGCTCAATTTGCGGGAGGATAATAAAGAAAACTATTTGTTGCATACTTCTTGTAACTTATCTTATACTTTTTGTAGTTATCCTTTACTTCTAGTAGTTTATCTTGTACTTCTTGTTACTAGTATATATATTGGCTTATGTAAAGACTTTATTTGGTGAGCTAATAAACTCTTTCAATAGCGATTCCTTTGCTTTGATCAGAAGTATCTTCTAACCAGCTTGTTTGTCAACTAAAATAATAACGATTCTTTGTATGGCTAAGTAGTTGGATTGCGGATGAGACTAATGATTCCTTAAAATAGAAGCTAATAAGATAACAATATACACACACACACAAGAGCATTACTATCTCAAGTTTTTGTGTTGTTTTGTTTTATTTTTTTTCCTAGGATCACTGTTGCCAAAAGTGAAACCAAGTCATGGAATTAATTTGCACCTCTCTCTCTTTGATTAAATATACAGAAGGATGATGTTCCTTGCGCTTCTTCCAAGCACATATGGACACATCAAACTATACATGCACGACAGTCATAAGGGAATCTTGAACTTTAGACGAGGAATGAACGAAAGTTGATGTATGCGTTAGGGGATTGATAATTTTTAGGTAAATTAGTTTCCTCCCTACTTCTATAAAACTCACGAGGACAAAGAATTGAGATGGAAAGGAATGTGGAAACAGCACTTATATAGCCGGTAAAAATAAGAGGAAGGAAAAATAAACTTTCTCCTTCCTTTTCAACACGCTTCATCAATATTCAAATTGTCCCAAAAAAAAAAAAAAATGGAATACAGGTTTTATTATTGTTGTCGTTGTTTTTATAAGCCAATATAAAGGAACAAAGACACCTAGGTGGAGAGTCCACTAGGCGAAGGCATATGAAAAATAAAACAAGTAACCAGCATAAAAAATACAAGGACACTATTTAAAGAACCTAACTGCAGAATTGTAGAAGCCAGCAGTAGCAGAAGCGGGGACAGGAAGAAGATGAAGCTATAAATCAGTAGAAGAAGCAAAAACCTTCATACTGAGCAGGCCAGAAACAAAACTTTGAATTCTTTCCTTCTCCCTTGCGAAGCAAAAGTTAAAATTCTTTGTTCTCTTAAGTCAATTAGATTAATTTTCTAGGAAATGTGACGGTTGTTTTCCTAAAAAGAAGCTTATGCATGATTAGTGCTTCAAGAGCTCAAATTCATAAAATCAGAATTGATTTTTTTCCCCTAACTTACTACCCATCAGGCTATCAGAAGCCAAATTGACTAGAATACGGGTCGAAAAATGACTAAACTTTGTGAGATTAATGTTCATTAAACGAATTTGGAAAACATCAAATTAGTCCCTTGCCTACAAACCTACTGTCAATTGAATTCCAAAACAACATATTTTATCACTTGGGTTCCCAAATGTTAGACCTTTTCAATTGCGTTCTTCTGTGTCAACTTTTTGTTGATATTTTTCATATAATGCGCTTATGTTAATTAAATGACGTTGTTTTAGGAAAAAAAAATGACTAAGAAATTCATAGAGAATGATCAAAGATCCTATTGAAATTTTTTGAAACATTTGAGATGTAAAAGATAAACTTTTTTGTCTAGATACTCAATTAAGAATTGGGTTCTACGTTAGGGACTAATTTGAGATTTCCCCGAATTCGTATTGTGAACATTGAACTCACAATTTTAGACAATTTTCGACTAGTATTTTCATGGGGTTAACCAAAATAATTAGCAAGTACAGTAGATTCTTGCTGTTAAATATTTCTTTGACCCCTAACCAAATAGCTAGGCGCTGCCGTAGAATTGCACATGCTAATAGTTAGACAATTGTAAACTATGCGCAGTTTCAAGAGAACGAGGTAAGACTAAAGAAAGACAACACCTCAAGCTACGTAATGCAAATATTCCATCAATATTGGGGACCCCTGGCAAGTGGCAACTGAGCAAGTTAGCTAGCCTCGTACCCGAGGAAGGAGGTGTGGGCATAACAAGATGCATGTTCAGTGTAAAAATGGAATAATTTTGACTGGTGATAAGAGTATAAATTGGAGTCCGAAAAGAAAAATAATTCAGGGATAAATGTACAGCATCAGATGAAAAAAGAAAGCAAAAAAAGAGATACAAAGTGGAGGTAAGCCAACAGAGATATCATGCCCCAGTACCCCACAAGTGAAAGAAGAAAAAGAAAGTAGGAAAAAAACAGCTTTATAGGGAATAAGGAGGGGTTGGATGATTGAACTCTCGTAAAGTCACTCTTCCATTAAATTTTGAATGTTCATTTCATATCAAATTGTACATTTTTATCCAAGTCTTTATAAAAGAGAAGGTAGAGAAAAAGGCGAAGGGGGCAGGCATTGACAGGACTGAGATCGGCTAGGGTTTGCGGTGGAAGTGGAAGTGGAGGTGGAATAATAATACATAGCAGATAGTTATAATCATGGGGGAAGCATATTCACTTTACTCTTTGTCATCACTTTCTAAGGCATGATTAGAAAAAAGTTTATCAATCTTCTCTCCTCCCCTTAAAGAAAAGCATTCCTCACCCTCTTACCCCTCCACTTTTGTTCAATACTCACCAAAACAAAAAGACTTGCTTCCCAAGGCTTCTACAATACTAATCGCTATATTAGTGGAGAAAAATTGAAGACCGTGATGATTAAATATACCTTGTTAATCAGGTAAAATGTTTCTTAGCTTGGCTGAAGCTTTTGAGTTTAATTGGATTGGCTTGAAGCTTCACTTACAAGATTGTTTGTAGTGGGTCATGGGCAATGCTTGTTTAACTACCACAAAACTTGACAGCACATGTTTCGCTAGTCTATTTTGGACCCAGATTTATTAGCTAATAAGTTATTAGGATTTACGAGTCATCATAACACGCTCCCTCCAATCCTACGTTGACAAACACAGGTGTCAAAATTCAACAAAATACTCCCTCTCCGAACGTACATACATATACACATATATATATATGTAATCGTATACCAAAGAACTGCCAATTAGACTCTACACAAGCATACATTTATGTATAACTCACGCAATTGGATATTAATTGATTTATAACATTGGACTTGAAACCCTACCATTTCCGTGGAGAATCTTCTATCTAAATATCAATGTTTCTTAATCTAATATCCAAGTACTTGCCTTTTAAGCACTCATGAATCTCTACGAGGAGCTTCCCTTGCAACATAAAAATATATTCGTGGTTTTTTGTGCATAGAGAAAAGCTTAGTAAGGAAGCTTTGTGGGACAGTCTAACATACTCTATTTGATACTACATGGTTGCTCTAGTCCTATATAAGTCTTAACATACTCTAATTCAAAAGCTATCACAGTATTACAAAAAAAAAAAAAAAAAGGAGGCTTGTATCATATTAGGATTACTTAACTATGTTCCAGCGCAGCCCAATCCAAAGGATCGTTGCTAAACCCTTTTCTTTTTCTGTATCCGAATTTTAATTTTCACTATTTCGATCATGAAAGGATATTATGCGAGCATATTGCTCTCTTCAGCTGGCATCTTAATTTTCTCTCTTCTCCATTCAGTATTTTACAATTCTAGGTCAAACCGCACTATGAATATGATTTGATTATAGGGAAAATATTTAACCAACTAAAAGAACAAGCAAAGAAAATTAAGAGAGGGGGGTGGGGGGATGGACCTGGAGAAAACACCATTGTTTGACGTTGATGCGCTGCTGATCACAAGTTTATAGAACAACTGGATCGACTTACAACAGAGAGAGTTTTCTTCTTAATTCCTTGTCGGGTAGAATGACCTAATATTCTTTACTTCCGCCTCCCTGCTCTCTCTCCCTCTCGGTCTCTCCACATTTACCGATCATTAGGGTTTGATAATGACTGTCTATAATGGAAAAGGATTATTATTAAATTAAGTAATTACTATTATAGAGTAACCTAGTATTAATTATTCGCCTTAGCAATCAACGAAAAACTAATTATCAGCAGGAATTTAAAAAAGAAAACCAGAAATAGCGAATGGAATTCGTATGTCACGTCATCTTTGTAATTGCTCCCTGAAAAAAAATAATAATAAACAATTTGTTTTGCCGATGAATTGAAAAAACACATGCATAAACCTATGATAAGTGAGAATCAGATCCAGAAATAAAAGGTCAACAAATTTTAAACACAGACATATTCAACCGATTTCTCGGCTTTAAACCTCAACTCTGCAGCCCAACATCAGTTTCGTGATCACTGTGTTTTTGGTCCAGAAAAAAAGGAAAAAAGAAATTTGGTAGGCCGCAGTATGTCGTCCCGCCAATAAGTGATTTACAATAGCTTACCTAATTAAGGTGGTCATTTCGATTGACATCTTTTCATTCCATCGATTCAAAAATTAACTTGAAAGTCGCACATGTTTCCTCATAAAATATCTATAAAAATAATCACATAGCATTAAGAAAGTATAACATGCTAAAGTAACAATTTTTTTTAACTTTTTAATGGTAAAAAAACATGTAACTTGGATATAATATTTAACCGCTAAATTAAACCAAATATAATACTCCTATAACGGATGTCAATCAATCAGAGAACAAAGGTTAAAAAATAATAATAATTCAAGAGATATCAATTGAAATGACCTGCGATTCAAGAAGATCGTTTGCATGGTTTAACTGCTTAAAAGCTTCTGTGGATATCTTTATTTTTTATTTTGTACTAGTTTCTTTCTTCTATTTTTATTTGTCTGTCTACTTTTAGATTCCATTTGTTAGCTTTTTATTTATTTATTAATTGACACCCATGATTTTCAGTCACATAGTCAGTAACCTCACCATATATTAATAAGTGTTAAGTGTCATACAATGTATACACACACAAAAATAGTTATACACTAAAAAACTAATTCACTTTTTCTTTTTTCCTTTTTCCTTTTTTTTTCTTGTTCATCCTCCTCCTCTTCTCTCCATCGCCAAATCATATCACCATGCCAGCCACCACTCCCTAACCCACAAACAACCAACCGAAAACAATTACTTCCTAACTCACTCACGATCGATCAACCTCAACATCAATAAAAACAAAACTATATATCAAGAAATCATATTACAAACCCTCAAATTCTCTATTGGGTTTTTTGAATTCTCCAAAATCTAACCAATCCTTTTCAAATCTGGGTTCTTCAATTATTTATTTATTTATTTATTTATTTTGTTGAATTAAGCTTGTTTTTGAATTTAAATTTTAGATTTGCTTGTATGCTTGTTTTTAATGAGTTATTGTAAATTTCCTTTAACTTTTGGACTAAGCACAAAAAAAAAATTTAATTTTGAATCTAAATTATGGATTTTGTTTTCGGCAGTTGTTGCTGCTGTGATGCCATTATATTGCTGCTGGCTGTAATTGATGCAGATGGCGGCTGTTGCTGCTGTTGTAATGAATGTTGTCTGCAGCAGCTGTTATTGGTGGTGAAGATGTTGAGTTGTAGGTGGTAGCAATGAAAGAGATGAAAGATAGTGATTTGATGAGAAATTTTCTTTCGTTTTTTATTATCTTTCTCTTCTAAAATGTACATCCTAAAAAGTAGGTTCATAATACAGTAATTACTTTGTAATTATTATAAAAATTTTGGTGCTTTGATGGTGGAGACAGGAGTAGGAGGAAAAGAAAGAAGAAAAGAAAAAAAGTATGTAAAATTTAAATAGTTGTTTTTGCAAAAGTATTTTGTATTTTGCGTCGTTATTTTATATATATTTTGTGTATATACTATTAAGATTAGACACGTGTTGCCATATTAGGTAGGTAACTAGCTGGGTGATTGGAAGCATTGTGACTTTTGATCAAATTAGAATCTAACTGAGAGTATAAGCAAAACATAAAGGGGAGAAATAATAATAGAGAGACAATTAATATAACATTAATAGAAAATTTTAACCGGTTTAGGCCACCCGCTTAGAACATTGACCAGCGTTGGCTGGATCCGTTCCGTGGCCTGCCAGGGAAATATTGAAAGCGTACAATATTCTGCTACCAAGAACCGAAAAAATAGAACAGCTATCGGATATCACACAACTGGCGAGTGGCGACTTAATCTGGATCCTTCCTGAAGAAATGGAAGTCGCTGCTTTCATTATTCATATGGGAGTGGGACAGAATCCTGTCCGTGCGCACAATATGGCAATACCGCCAATGTATGGATTGTCTCAAGTTCAACAGGCCCCAATGGATAGAACTACATAAGTTCAATTCTGTTGACTTTTAAAATTTGGACCTTGCCAATCTTCCACATCGGTCCAATTGAAGGCGTTCAACCATGAAAAAAGGTAGACACATACCTTTTTTGTAATATTTCATGTCATTTCGAAACATGCTCGTAAAACATCCAAATTCCAACATGTATTGCCACATCAACATCTCTCGTAATGGACTCAGCTTCATCCCAACTTAACTAAATCCTGCACTAACCGAGTATAGCTACATGATCTGCCCACACCTGTTCAGCTTTTTCATCCCTCACATTGAAGATTTCAAAATTATATGCAATATGGTTTCCTCCATAAACCCCCTTATCTCACAAAACATAGCTGCATAACATTTCCACCAACAGCCATAATCTCAAGCAAATGTATAGTAATAAACAAGAATGCTATTTGATGTTTACTTGGAACAGGATATGAAAAGAATCAACCAAGCAACTGTTACAACATTCTTTTTTTCCTAAAAATGCATGTAATGATATGGTAAAAAATGATGCACCACAGTAGAGGAAAAAAATATATCAAATCCTTTCTTCATTACCAAACATTCCATGTAACTACACTAGAAAGAACTGCAAAGTTCTTTCGTAATAAAATATGAAGAAAATCTCCATAATCTCAATGATTAAGGCAAAAAAAAAAAAAAAAATTATGCCAAATGAGTTATTGCAATATCAATTTTGTCACTGGGAGAAATGGAATTCAAAAATACAGTCGAATCATGTAGAAGCATAGCTAAAGTATAGCACAGGCTATTTTAAACCATGTAATTCAACTAAATAGAGTGCTATGCTCTAGATATCCCAAAAGTAAGTCCCTTGTAATTTCCAATACATATGAATAACCAGATAAGGATGAACTCAATCTATGTAAGATTGAGAAACATATTATAGATAGAAGTTCCATAAACAGCAGATATTATTATAAAGCAATTCAAGATTCTAATAAATAGAAATAGAGAGAAAACATTAATCCTAAATCATTATCTTGATCTTGTTTCTAACTAGAGCATGTTTTCTACAACAGACAGATTGCCTTCATCTTTGGATAGTAGAACAACATCATTTTATTGCATAATTATTAACTCTAATTACAAATCATATCAAATAAATTTTTCCCTTGCAGATTTAGTGAGAATAAGCATAAATTAGCGGTGAAGGAATTAGCATTCCACCAAGTGTTAATGGCACTCCAATTTCTGATAAAGAAAGATATGGCTGGAGGAAGTGGAGTGTTGTTAGCACTTGATGGTATAATATTAGTCCCACTCCTAAATTAGCACAGACAACACTGCCAGTTATTGGGTGAGATAGGACAAACCTTCCAAAAGCAGCAAATATCATCATTCAAAACATTCCAAAAAGAAACTTCAGCATATCACCAGAAAAATATATATGACACAAGAATGCAACTTCAACATTTTTAACTCGTTTTTACCATTTTCAGTTCCTTTCAATTCATACACACACCATTCAGATGAAGAAAGAGTGCCATTACACCTGAAAGTTTTTTGTATGCAAAACGTTTGAAGATATATTTACACCATAGAAGTGCAACAGAAACAAGTATGCAAGCAATAAGCAATTATGAAAATGACATAGACAATGCATAAAACACTAGGTAGCATTAGAGCTTTCATATGGATCCAGTTACATATAGACTTCCATGCCAATGAACTTGGAGGACTGACACAGGGGACAAAAACTAAGCTTACTTTCACAATCCTTACAGAGGCAGAGATGCTTACAAGGTAACAAAAGCATGCAAACTTCATTGACTCTGCAAACCTTACAAGTCATCAGCTCCTTCATGTCATTATCGTCCTTGCAAAGCAGTTGAAAATCAATGGCACGGCCATTGCAGCATGATGCTGTATCATCCACCTCGCTATCACCACACCCTTCTTTACTATCTCTACTTTGAGCATAGACTTGCTGAATATTAAGCTTGAGGGCATTTATCATGTTTTCATTGTATCTGGCCCGTTGCTGCCATGCACCTGCTTCCATAGACAACTGTTCCATTCGCTCTTCAAGTTCCATGTTTTTCTTATTAATGCTCTCCACCTCTGCTTCTTTCTCACGAAGTTTTTGAAGAACCTTCTCTTCCACAAGTGAGATTGTTTGAAGTTGGTCAGCTTGGACCTTCTCTAGGATAGTTTGCCGAAGTCGGTCACCCTATTAGACATGCAAGCAAGTTAAAAATACTTTTAACAGTGAATAATCATAATACCAAAGGGTGAGAGAAGAAAAATTTTCTAAGCATCTCATCCTATGATAAGTTGACTGGCAAGAAAAAATAAAAAAGAACATTCAAGTAAACGCATGAACAGGTTCCCATTAAATTCAGCAGGTAAGCCCAGTTTGGTGTACCCCATGTCCTGCCCCACAACCATCAATTCAATCGAAAACAAAGGAAAAAACACTTCAAACAAGAGCAAAGCCTATCATATCTTCACAGCAGTAAGGACATGAAATGCCAAAGGAAAATAATTAAATAATGGCACCTTCCTGAATACAATTTGTATTCAGGAAGTCTTCTATTACTCTTCTATAAACATTTTTCACACTAATTCCCGCAAAAAATGGAATTCAGGAACTCTATTAAGAAAGTCGAACACAATCAATGAATTCCAACAATTTTGAGTGTTTTACATGGTGCCACCCGAGAGAATTACGGCGGAGCAGAAAGATCCACAGACGAAAGACAACCACACCACTGTACATCTAGAATTAGCAATTTCCATCTTCATTTTCGAATCTCTTGATTTAATATAGTCCACTAATAGTTTTAAGCCTACTAAATCAATACATCAAGCAAATGCTTCCGTCTGATCAATAACATTTATTGATGTTCAAATAAAGTTGATACAAACAATTAACAATGTAATAGTGAGACGAAATCACCAAAGAGAGAAACAGAGGACCACTTCCTAATTATCCTTTACATTTCATTTCATTATTCTAGAAATTGAAAGCAAAAAACTGTATTTTTCACTAAGATAAAATGAAAAACACCTGACTTCAAATCCTAGAGGCAATGCAGCATTCATACATCTTCAAGTAACAGAGGAAAACATGTGACAAATATCACATGACAATATAGAAACAAGTTCATGATCCAATTCGCAAACTGCTTAATTCAGAATCATAGGACTTGTGAAGTAATCAAGTACTTACTTAAACTAACAGGTCATAGATGATACACATCAGTATAAGAAACATAATAAATGAAGCTACAGCAACCATTATTTGCAAATTAAATGAAATGCAATAAGATAGCACAACAACAAACTGAAAGAAAGGCAAATCGTCCTACAAAAATGGCAACTGGCAAGCTCATTTCGTATTAAAAGAAAGCTGTCATCTTTAAACAACTCCCAACCTGAATTTTGAGGAATTTATCAACCTCCATATCCTGTCGCTGTAATTCACTATCAATATCATCGCCAATAAGCGATAACAAAGCCGAGTCACCGGAAGATGAAACACGAGTATTGTCAAGAGACAACCCTAACCCAGTAGAAACCGATCGCGCTTGCATGAAATCAACTGACGAAATCTGGGAATTGTTCTCCAAAAATCTTGCTCCTTCAATCTCTTTCTCTTGGGTTCCAGTCCATAATTCCATTGCAATTCAAGTCCCCCATCACTGCCATCATTCACAGGACCCGGAGCTGGACCCGGGGCAAACCCCACCACATGAACTGGAACAACGACATCAACCGCAAAATACCCAAAACTTAAGACATAATTTAAGATCATGCTAGCTAATTACATTAAACTTCGTTGCCAAATTGTGAATAATTGAGCTTCATTCAGCATAAAAACGATCAAATTAGTGTCTGATATAGTTAATTAATTAATATAAACAAATAAATTAAAGAATCCTCCGTTTAGTCCTCTATGGCTTGTTAGCTAGAAAAATAAATCAAGCAAACTTACAAGGAGGAACATATGGCGGATGCTGAGACTGATCTTGCACTATAGAGGGATTAAAATACGCCACTGCAGGAGAAATCTGGCTGTCGATTGCGTATAAATTCCTGAATTGCATGCATAAAAATTGATATAAAAAAAAATATGCTAGGGTTTGAAGAAAATAATGTAAAATTTTGATATTTTTAAACACAATTTACCTCAAATTTTTAGATTGTTGTTGTTGTTGAGGTTGGTAGTGTTGTTGAAACTGGTGCTGGGGAAGAGCCATGATGATGAGAATTGAAACTCTAGAGAGGGAAAGAGGTGTGAAAGAGATGGACTTTCGGTCCATATAGGGAAGGGCGGCTTGGCCAATGGTGGTGATTCTTTGTATTTTCCAGAAGGTCCTGAAATTATTGCAAATTTTTGTTTTGGCCTCGATAGTTTAGCTAATTAATACTTTGGCCGGTTCTTAGTTGACCTTTTGACTCTACTGATTGGGCCGGGTCCGATCTAGTGTATTCGCTTCTTGTCCACGTTTGTTGCTGGACTCCCAAGGATGTTCTCTGCCTTGATATGGGAAAAATGTCTCATTTGCAAATAATTGTTTGCACGATTTCTACGTGAATGGGCAGTTCAGTACTACATTATTTGAATATATATATATATATATATATATATATATATAGTAGGTTTGTTCCCCGTTTTATGTACTTAGGTTTGAGTTTAAGTGGAAGCTACGAGAAATAGACTTCTTTTCAATGCATCAATTCTGGTTTGGCAAGTCTCCAAAAAATTCAATTAGAGAAGATTTATCGGGAAAAAGAAGGATCTTCTTTGGTGGATCCTTTCAGTTCGTGTTTAGTCTCCTTCGTTTCGTATTTGTGCCAAAACTAGCGGGCGATTATAGAATTGGTGAAAATAATGAAAAGAATGCTTCTTCTTTTTTTATGAGACTGGATATTTCAAATAAAAATATGGTGATGGTGTGTTTTTATTTTTATTTTTTATAATTAAAGAAATAGTGGATGTTGATTATGGATGACGATACCATCTACTTAAAATACCTACAAAATAAGTTATTTTGATTGTTCAAGGAACTCTCTGATTACTAAATAGGTATAAAAAGATAGAAAACATTTGAGTTGGCTATAAAGCATTTATGTGAATGTGTAAAGGATGATAAACACTAATATTACGTGTGAAGAAAATAGAACTGGAACCCTTCATTTTTAGTCCATTAGACCTTTGTGTAGGTAAAGGTGTATTCAAGTTGCATGAAGGAAAAAGATAAAATAGCCCATTCTCATATTGCTAAGAGTTTCGACATCAATTTGGAGGAAAAAGGTTTTCTTTTTACTATAACTTATTGTTTGATGGCATTTGTGTCGTCATGATTAGTGCCAATTAAATAAGAGCAATCTGGATAGCATGATTTTATTAAATAAATATTTTTTTTTATATTGCTAATAGATAAAACGACATAATTGTAGTCCAGGTTGAAAGTCCCGAATAATATTATAGGATGCCCCTTGTTTTTAATATTGTTGAAAAATCGTTTGCAGTTAGTATCGTCCAGAGTCCAGATTTAAGATTTCGGTTGGAGTAAAAAGGATATAAGATGATACATATGACTCGAGGATATCACTTTTAACCCAGTATATTGAAATGATGGTTCAAATCCCATGATGCAAATCTTTGCTCTCTATTGACATTTAGCTTGTCAACAATGGTATTGCTGTTGTAAAAACACGAGAGAGAGCATTAGACTTGAAAAACTCTATAAATTCTTACAAAACTAAACAATTGGATATCATGCCAACGTCTTCAACACGAAATCCTTCATCTCGCCGGCTTAATAATTAGAATGATCTATCAATAAAGTTTAATAGTACATAATTTCTATCATGATATTATATAAAACATCATTTAATTGTGCATTTATTTGTTCTTATTTTCTAATTCACCTTTTTACCAATTTACTTCATTCAAATTGATGGTCACACGTGCAACACATGAATGATTTCAATAAAACTTGACACAAATACCTTTTTAAGTCAAAAAAAAAAAAAAAAATTCATGTTGTTTCGGGATTGGAATCTAAATAAACTTGATTACATACTAAAAGTATCAAAAGTTAATCTTGTACACTTGAAAATGATACTTTTTATTGACTAAAACGGATTTTTTTGCGAATTCATATTGAAAATAACGTGCTTTGTGCTATTGACCAATAATAATTTCTAAAGAAATAGCTACCGAAAGGTATATTAGGGAAAAAGAGCAAACTACATGTCATAGTTAATTAATTTGGATAAGGAGTTCCATTTGTTTTTATATAATAGTCTCAATTTTTAATCTGTCTTTATATTTTTAATTATATTTATTATATTTCTAAATTATATTTAATTATCCAATGTCATTCAAATTAATTCTTTCGACCACGAGCAAATACTTTAACCAAATATCCTTAATTGAAACATAAAAAATAAATAAATAAAGACCTCAAAAATGAAGCATGCTAGCCATGTCATTTATTTATTTATTTTGCATTTCAATCAAGAGTGTTTTGATAGAAAAAAATTATTCATAATAAAAAAAAATTGATTGAAAGTATATTTTGAAGATTTATAAATTATTTACAAGCATAATAGATATAATTAAAAATATAGCAAAAAATTGAAGACTCATTCTGCTATATAAAGATAAATTCAAATATTTATCCAATTGATTTTTTTAATAAAATGATACAATTAAGGAATGATGTAATATATAAGCTCGTAATTACTTCAATGTTTGCTCATTTGCTCATTTTAAATATAAACTAGTGAGAACACTCAAGAAATTGAAAGAGAAGTTGTTCTTGTTGATCACCTTGTATCGAGGGCTATGAGTTAAACGTTTAAAGAAAATGATTCCTGGTCAGTGTCCTGAATTCATCATCTCAAAGAGCATCTTATGGCTCCATGGAAATAGTCATTAATTCATGAAAATAAATGAGACCGAAATGAATTAATGCATTGTTCCAGTTCTTTTTTAACAAAAGATAACCTATGATATTTATTGAGTAAATAACTCAATATGTTATTAAATAATATCACGAGTCTCATATTTATCTTTAAGTTTCTTATTGCATTCTATATATTTTTAAAAATTATTTAAATGTTCTTTTGATCTTTTTTTTTTTTTTTTTTGTCAAATGGTCATGTGCAAATCACATGGTCAATTTTTATTTTTATTTTTTTATTAAAATGTCTCTTACTTAAAAAGAAAAAAAAAAGAAAAAAACATTCATCCTCTCTTAATAGTTGTTCCCTGCAAGATGGCTACTGTTTTTTCATTCATCTGGTTGAGGCGAACTTAACAATGCATCATTTCTTATACAAGTCACTTTGGGGACAGTTTGTCAATATAGCAAAATGCTTTTAGGGCAGCTATTCCTTCCCCACCAATTATTCTGCCTACTTTTTGCTCAGTCTCTATTCCCTTAAACAAAATTTGAGCCTGGTTTCTCTCCCTCATCTCTAGTGCAGACCCTTCACATGCTGCCTCAATACTATCTCATGCACCCACCGCTGTTCTTATTCCCGTATACAACTGGAAGATAAAATCTTAGATCTTGCATTTGCATTCCCATGTTGTAAAACGGATTTGGAAGATTTAGCTCCTATAGCCATACTAACATAGACTCCAGGAAATCCTAACTTCGATATAAATACACAGACAGATATATATATATATAGCTTTGTTTCGAGTGATTTAGCTTGGATAAGTCTTTTTTTTATCCCTCAAAATATCTCAGATTTAAAAACTCGGACTAATTCTTTATTATTCTATCGAATATATAAAACAGAAATAGCTATTCAAAAAAATTTTATATGTATAAGAATTTAAACTCGAAACTACTTGTCCCTTCCACTAAAGCCAATCCTCTTAGAGTGCCTAGATAAGCTTTTTCATTTCATGTTTTTACGCTTATTGATGCGTTTCATTGCCATTTAAATATTGTTCGTCGAATATATAAGACGAAGCAATTATTTAAATAATTTTTTATATGTATAAGAATTTAAATTCGAAACAACTTGTTCTTTTTACTCAAACCTATCCTCTCAGGTGCTTGGATAAGCCCTTTCATTTCAGGTTTTTACGCCTACTGATGCGTTTCATTGCCAGTGAAACGTCCTGTGAAGGAAGCAATGTTGAACTGAGTTTCCTCAATTCTTAGGCTAGGAGACTTGATAACCTGGATGGGTGTTTTTCCGCCTTGAGTTATTCATACTATTACGTTGGCCTGGGTGTTGGTAGAGCAGGAGTTGAAATAGGAAGTTCTTTGTAACTACTCACATACACAGACGACACAACTACTAGTAGAAATATTAAATATTATTATGCCAACTGGGTTTATGTAAATAGAAAACTGTTCAATTGGTTGGTATAGATCTTAGTATCAACACCAGAGTCATTTTTTTTTCTCCTTTTCCAGTAAAGGGTATTTGGTAAAAAAAAAAAAAAAAAAGGATCATGTAACATTCTCTGGGCCATCTGACTAGTAAAATTGATCAGAAAAAGAAATTAAATATTTAAATAATTTTAAAAGTAAATAAGATACAATTAGAAATTTAAAAACAAATGAAAGACTCAAAATATTATTTATTTATCCAGTTATTTTTTTTATTTGAGAATTCTTGTATTTATGGTTTACTTTTCTAATAAACTTTTATATTTTTTGTTATTATCCTAATTTTTATTTTCTTCGCAACAAATTATAGGAACAATCTAAGGTACACTTCATGAAATCACGAGACTACCAGCAAAAATAGGGTCTCAACTATCAAACTAAGACATCTCTTTAGACATTACTAGTTGTCTGGCTGTGCGTAGTATAGGTCGAACAAAACATACAAAATCATTTAAAAAAAATAATTTTAATTTAATAGCATGTATTATATTGTAGGTTTATTAAAATATATTGAATTAAAGCTATAAAACAATTATCTAATTTTATAATTTATTATTTTTTATATTTTTCATAAATTTTATGGTTAAAAAACACGATTTGTTATTTTTTATGTATTAATTTTTAAATAAAAAAGTGCAATAATCTAAATAGAATATTTAATAAAAAATTTTAAGAAATACATTAATATTTTTTCATAAGATTGTATCGACAAAATAAAGCAATAATTAATATAAAAACTTGTATAAAAATTAACAAATGCATTTTTTTTTCTCATTTAACGTTGATGAGAAGATTTTCTTTTAAATATATACATTTGATTTATATATATT